TTTTCTTTTTAAACTTTGAAAGCACAAAACAAATACGGCCACCTTTGGCACGCACAGCTGTCATCGCCCAGCAGAGCGATAGAAATAAATCTATCGCCATGAAACGCCGCCAAGCGAACTTCGCATTTCGCTTTGGCTGTGTTCAATTTCATATGCTTGCGGGTGTTCTAATTTTGACAGCGCGAATTTCGCTGTGGTGAGTTCGCCGTTCGCCGGCATTGTATTTCAGCTATTATACTCCGTCTTTTGTCTAACATAAGGCCTCAGCAATCGAAAAGACTTGGAACTGATGACTAGCAGGGCATTCATTCGACCAACCATATACATTTTTTTTATTTTTTTTTATACAAAGTCTAAGAAAAATAAAAAGTAAAATTTCGATCTCTTTTCATTTAATGGTAAATTTCAGAAATGCTTTAAACATATTTGAGGACGTTAATTTACTCAAAATTGATACGCACAACAATCCCTTGAAAAGAAATAGCATTACCTTGCTTACCTTGCTTACCTTGTAACGGTAGTTTTCGGAAAGGTGAAAAAACTATATTTAATACGTGCGCCGGGTATTTACACCTAAAAAAAGTCACCTAAAAAGGTTTATCTGAACACAGGCTTTGGTAACTATAACTAAATAATGTAACTATAACCAAATTATATGTTGGGAGAAACACATTTAGCTCACTTTTTTCTGGGTGTAATGATCGGCTTCACCCCAACTTAGTCTTTTTTACTTGTTTCAATTTTTTAATTTATTTGAATTTAATTTTTTTCTACGGAGACCGAATTAGAATTTGACAATGAATTAAGTTTTTTTTATACATATGTATGTATGTAAATTATGAACAGAACAGAACAGAATGAACAGATGTATTGGCATAGTGAATTTTTCGCAATATATGCAAAGTTTTTTATTCTAATTTATTTTCTTCAACAATTTTTATGAACTTGAGGCCGCTTTTAGTGAAAACTTATTGTAGAAAAGCAACAATAATTTGAAAAAATTGTAGAAGTGATAGTTATTTCGGAAATCACCACATTTCCTCATCAGACTTCTTTCAGTAGGATTCGAACCGACGATCTCCACTGACTCAGCCAGTTGCCTGCCTTATTAATTTTCCATAATTTTTTATAAAAATATTGTTCATTCTACATCAAAAAACATAATAATAAAATCTCTAAACTTTGTGCAAAACTCACGAAAATTCATTAAATTTGCACACTAATTTGCAACTTTTTATTCAGATTTATAGAAAAATTCTAAGTATGCAGTTTTAAACTGCCCATTCAAATTTAATATCACAAAGGGCACGTTTAAAGTTGCTAGAAAATCGCGGTGATTTTTGGAAATTTGTTTAGTGGAAGCTGTTCCTCATTTTCTCCATAGAAAAGATAATTGTCGAATATACTTTGTATGGAAAAACTTGCGTGAAAAAAATATGCATATGCGATATGCATTTTCCAACGTACCAATCATATTTCCGTATTCCTCAAGCAATTATCTATCCAACCGAATTAAGATACTTAAGTTTTGGCCTTTATATAAGCTTTTAGAGATTCCGCCGCACTGTGCAGGTGTGCCAAAACTGGAATTAACTGTGAAAAATAGTCCAGCGCCGTAATTTTCCAACCAATTTTATTAATTTTTTAATGGAAGATAATAAAATTTATGAGAGATCTGTCGATCTCATTTTTGAATTTGTATATGTTTCTATAATTTTTTTGGCGCAATTTGGAAGAAAAACGCTTCTGCAGTTCCTCTAAAATAATATTACATAACGAAAGCTACTTGATAAGCATTATAGGATTCCCCAAAAATAAAAACAAATTGCAGAAGTAAAAGTTGTAATTTATAAAAAAACGATTCAGCCGTTTTCTAGTTTTTAAGCCTCGAACAAACGAATACCAAATTTGTAAATACATATGTATATGTATACCACTACGCGGAGAAAATATTAACAGGAAAGAGACATTTTAGCATTCTTCGGCTATTTCCCTTT